GCTGCTGTGCCTCTTCCCACATTTTCCACTGTCCYCAGTGACAGGCAGCACAAAAATGGAAGCCTTCTCCATGTATTATTAACAGCAGTGATAAGATAGCGAGAGGGTGTGAAATGAGATACAGGAGGGGAAGCTGTGCACTGTAGGCACTGACACCTTCTCCARCACAGAAATGGCTCAGTGATCAGCTTCTCGGGAGATCCCAGCTGGGAGCTGTTATGTGTTTAAGGAAATACACGTTTGAGTAAACACAAATTGTTTGCACGGAGACGGAGCAGCAATCGCTGTGCAGCCACTCAGACTAACAGCAGCTTGAATTGATGGAAAAGGGGCCAAGAATGGAGAGGTCAATGCTCTAGTGCTGCTCTATCCCTGCCTTTGTCACCAAAAAACACACCACGTTTACAAACTAGGTTATCTCTGAACCAATTATTTTACCTCACTGATAMTGTACTTTACCACACAAGCAAGGTAGGGTGTCATTTAGCACAGTTTTTTGATAGTATAATTATAAAGCCTTACTCTTGGCTACAACCTGATTCTGGCAAGTGTAGCTTTTAAGGTAACATTAGGGTAAACATAGATGGTTTTGATATTTGCTGGCTGTGGATGCATAAATAATAGCACCCAAATTCATTCCCTCTTTTCTCACTATGTAAAAATAAACAATTCACTTTTAGAAAAGTAACTGACCAATAGTCAGTATTGCTGTTTTCAGATAGAACTCTCATTTCACGGTCTTGGTACAACTGGGACCAACCTTAGGGACAGCTCTTGGCATCTGCATCTGTTACYTAGTTTTGCACAAATCACCAAAGGACAAGCCCTAGTTCAAAGCTTCATTTCTTTATAAAACGCCACAACCCATCATATTTTTCCTCATCCAGATAAATTTACAAGATGGAAAATTCTAACGTGGCTAGATATGGCATCACATCCTGTGGATGTCAAGAGACACCTTGCCCCAGCTGTTCTCACATCCTCAAGTGGCCAACACCTGGCCATGAATGCAAAATCTCGAGCATAGAATGCAATCTATAGAAAAATGTGTTACTAAGCCCACGGGTGCTTCACCTCCCTTGGGATTTCTGTTYTGAATGTGAACAAATCAGGCAAGTGTGGGGTGGCATTAAGAGTTTGCAATGCTGTGGCACAGTAGGATTTTAATTAGTTTGTTTTGTATTTTTATGAATATAGAGAATGGAGCATTCAAGTACCTAATTAGTGAATAACTACTGCAGTGAGGCAGCTGGTGCCAGGGAGGAACACAAGATCTCTTACATCTTATTTTAAATTCACATCTTTCCAGAAAGCAAGAAGAGGAGGGCAAACAGGAAGGACTCCTAAGGAAAAGGCTTCAGGGTCACCTGKGAGCCTATGAGTAAGATGGAGAGASACTTTTTGCAAGGACATGTAGTGACAGGACAGGGGGGGTGGATTCAAACTAAAGGGCAGSATTAATTAGATATTAGGTTAGATATTAGATATTGGGAAGAAACTATTTACTGTGAGGATGGTGAGGCATTGGAACARGTTCCCCAGAGAAGCTGGGGATGCCCYGCTGCTAGAAATGTTCAAGGCCAGGTTGGATGAGGCTCTGAGCAGCATTGGGAAAGGTGTCCCTGCCCATGGCAGGGGGCTTGGAATGAGATCTTTAAGGTCCCGTCCAACCCAGGCCTATGATTCTATGAATACAAACCCAGCTCTTGACCACCCCACTGAAAATAAAACACTAAACATGTCACTGTGCTGAGTTTCAGTTTAATCCAGTTAAAAACTATTCTATACAAAGTACAGAGTGGGGCTTGTTTTTTACATATATTGCACCAGAGATTAAATTTGTACAACATTAACCAAATTTTACCCCTTCATCCTCCTACCAAAATCCCAGCCAAGTACAAAACTGAATCTCTGCATCGTGGTAGAACTGGTGTCTGTATAAAGTTAGACAGTTTTTGTTGTAATCACCTCCTAAGTGAAAAGCAGAATACAGGCATAAGCACTTGTGCCCATGATATTCCAGTCCCTTATTTATCTGTGATTATATCTTTCTACTTCCCAAGTTGCAACAAATCTTTACAATTCTTTACAATTTTTTACAATTATTTTCCAAGTAAATGGGATAAGGGGGCCAATCGCCAACAGCAGAGTCAGGACCTTACAAACAAATGTAAGAAGCTGCTCCAAAGCTGAAGTTTGAGCATTACATTGCAAAGGCGTTTTGACATACAATGGCATTTGTTAGGAGGCAGAAGGAGCCTGAAGGAATGATTTGTATGGCAGAAACACTTTCACACGGAAGGTTTCAGTCCTTGAATCTCTACAAACATCTGTGGCTCTATCMCTTGTCCTCTATAAACTTTCATATGGGATGGGGAAAACACAATAAAATTTCCCCTCACCTTTACCACAACATTTTAATAAATCCCTCTTTGCTTCCCTCCTCACCCTGTTACCCATTATCAGGCCACAACCCCAAAGCCAGGGCTGTGCACAGAGAAAATTTATGTAGCTGTAGCTGTAGCTATGTCTGGGCCTCTTTGCAAACAGATGAGGCTGTTGAAAGGTATTTGAGTCTCCAGACAAAGACAAAATCAAACTGTTGTTAGAATTGCATAGAAATGACAAAGAGTGGAGACAYTGGTTTTGCAAACTAAAAGTATCATCTACTTGCATAAAGAATGGGGGGAAAAAAAAGTAAAGTAAGTCAAATTGAGTGGTATAAATGACRGAAATGCAACATGACAACTTATGAGATAAAATAGATAAGAAAACCTAATCTRTTCTGGCACTGAGTTCTGCTACATTGTGTGGAGAACATGAATATGCCCAGGTCTGATGAAAGAAGCCTTGAGCATGGAAGGAATGTGCCTGACTTCCATCAATCAATGTACTTTAGAGTGAGAAATTTCCTAAATGTCAATACAAAATGTTAGCAACTGTCTTCTGGGGTTTTTTTTGGGTTTGCCTAAAATATTCAAGTCTTATTCTGAAAGGAACATCTTTCTCTAACAGAARCGTGCTTCTGTTTCTTTGCTCAAGCCCCAAAATATCTCTTTTAATGCCACCATCAGCAGTTAGCCACAGAACAGGAAGGAAATGTAAAGGATGCCAGCAGAGGTGTGTGTATCCGTTYAAAACCTGCATTATACACTCAGAACAATCCATGTTTAAAAAACAAACAAACAAAAACAACCACAAAAACCTAAGCAAACAAGGAAATCCACACAGGGTTTATACTTTAGGATAGTTTCAGTTTGAAATGAATGAGAAGCAGGGACACTGGCACAACTTTTGAGCATTATAGTAWAACTGGCATGAAAATCAACTTACTGTTGTAAAACCTTGGCTTGCAATACTAGGGACCTATCCTGGTTCATTACCAAAATAATACAATCAAGTAGCACCCCTGATTTAGGACACTTCATAGCTTTAGACCAACTGCTGAAAGACTCCTAGGAGTCAACAGTGAGACCCTTAACAAATCCCAGATTCATGTCTGAGAAGAGCTCTCTGGAGCACATGGTGCAATTTGAAAAATCTGGTTTTATTGTAGGAGGTAGGATAATCTGCACAGAAAAGACAATGAGTCTTGTTCTGTTTTGCACAATATTTCCATCAACATAAAAAGCTTACTTAATAACATGCAAAATTTTGAGATCAGCTGGCATCTGATGAAAGAAACAGGGACAAAAGTACTGTCCCAAGGGCCAGTTGAGCTTTCAACTGCTACACAGAATTAATCTCAACAAGGAGGACGGTTCAGATCAATACACAACAAGTACAGTATTCCTTTTGAAGGCTTTCAGTGAAATTCTTAGGTTTCTGTAAACATGAAAAATACTCACTGTTCCACATAATTCTTTGCTGTGTTTAAATTTTAGAAAGTGCAAATTTTCTGTGATTAATAAGTTTGATTTTTATTTGGTCTCAAAGAAGAAAKGGTAGTGCTGGAAATAGGCCTTTATCTATGGTCTTTGTTTCCCTATCTTTTGCTTTTCAGCATTTCTGGAAAGAGTTTCTACATCAAACTAGACCTAACTTAACACTCAGGCCTGTTCCCTGCTTCCTCTCTGAGAACATTCTGATTCATGCCTAAACACASTATGGCAGACATCCCCTCCCTCTTTGTAAGAGAAGAGTTCAATAGCTCAGAGACCCCTGGCCATAAAAATCTTCAGTATAGATGGTTTCCTTAATCTCCTCCTCTATTATAGCCTCTACATGATCTCCTTGTGTTACTTACTGATGCATTGGAGAGAAAATTCATTTAAYTTATAAATCAAATCTGACTGATACTTCATCTCTAACATTCCCAATGATTTTACAGTCTGAAGAAGAAAGTGGAGAGTTCATGTTTCACTCTGATTTCCTGTCCCCCCACCCCTCCCACCCCTTCCCCACCCCAAATAATAAAGATGCTATAAAGTTGAGGCACAAGTGGTTAAGGGTGAATGCCATCAGTTCTGACAGCTGGTTCTTGGACGTGTCCTGGTGGCAAAGGCTGGTCACCTGCTGCTGGGTGTTTTGGTGCATCTCCAACTTTGTGTTCACCAGCTGCAAAACAAGAAGAGAACCATTTGTAACGTCTCAATACACTGCCCCAATGTGAAAATTCTCTCAGTGGAAGTTTCTAGCATAGGGATACCCAAAGAAAACCTTCTATTTTCTGGTTTATAGGTAGAATCAGGATTTTTTTGTATGCCTAACAATGAAATTGGATTGAGATTACCCAATGAGTCAGTGTTATCTCTTAGACTACAAGTTGTTTCTGCTGTCTATGAAATATTCTCAAATAATATTGTTCTTTCTGAAATATATCATGTTTTTATGAGACCTTTAATCTCAGTATGGAAAGGCTGAAGAAGAAATAATTAACAACTTGCTTGTATGTTACTCCTCCCTGCATCAGTACTTACAATGTTCTCCCTTTGCCTACATTTGAATAATACTAATTTTCATAGTTTGATGAAGATTTCCGAATGTGCAGTTGCATTTATAGGTTTTTTTCCATAAATCACTCTTAGTAGCTCCAGTGGTCTATAGATTTTAAATAGTGTCTACTTGGGTACTATTGATTCAGTGAATGAGTAGTGACCAGTTCTGGCTAATATAATGAATTCTCATGGCACCTGATTAATGACATTGTAGAAAGATTTTTCATAAAGTAATACATGTGTTAAGAATAGCATCTGTTACAATATTGGCAGAAGATGTAATATCCTCAAAAGATGCATCATTCTGCAATTACACACCATGGTTATACTGATAGTTAGGGGAATTTAGGCTCTTGGAATGAAGGATCATAAAATGAAATTACTCATAGGCAGTTTCAAAGCAAATATAATACAGAATTAAATTGATTCTGAAATTTTATCATTTCCCTTCACAAAACAGAGTAGGCAGAATTTCAGGGTGCCCAAGAAAGTAAGCTGCAATCACTGAACACAGCACTTGAGTTTTGAAACCCTGCTGTTGGCCCTGCAGGAGCAGTTAGGAGCCCCCAGTATTCAAAARGCTGCCCAGATAGATCTGAAGCCTGTATTTGAGATCAATGTCAAGATGTTCCAGAGCTTCTCTAATGATGTCAGCACATGAACAGGGAAGCCAATACCTTTTTAGAGAGGAAGGAAAAGCTAATTTAGGATACAGGGAGCAGCAGAGCCCCTTTAAATCACAAAGGGAACCTGGGCAATCTGCTCTGGATAAGAAGTGCCAATAYATATCTGTTTTGTTGCCACTAATCAAATGCAGAGATCTATTATGTCACTTCTTCCCTCTGAGGGTATTGAAGCAATTGGTCATTCATACTGTCCAAGCCTAACTTGTCTTGTCCTATTGCATCCAGCTGCTGGTAAATTTTCCACTGAGGATTTAAATGCTTGGATTTGTTCTGCAGCCTGAGAATGCAGCCATAGTTCATGGGACAGACCTGGTCTTTTCTAGGTCCCTGGTCTTCTTTGGATGCTCAGAAATCCTGGATACCCTAGATCTCAATATTTTAGTCTAACAGCTACAACACAATCCTTCTCTGCCCATTTGATGCCTTGTGTTAGGACTCTGGTTTCTTACTATGGACTTCAAAGCAGTGGAATTTCAGGAATACTTAGAAGATTTACGTATTTCCCTCTTAAAAAGACAGGTTAGTGAACCTCTCTCCAGAGGTCATTAAAGCTGCATTAAGTTAATAATTTTAACAGAAAATATGGAGGTAATGACTTTTACATTGCAGATCTTATTTTAAAGATTGTGTATCTATACAGAAAGACACATACGGGGTTGGATTTTCAGTTCTCCACCTGGTCCTGCAGGAGGATTTCCTTGTTGTAGTTTCTTTTGTTCCATCTGTTTTACAACCTGGTGAAAAATAAAATAGAACAGTATAAAACTTGAATCTGGCAGYTTTCTCAGACATGACATAAAAGAATACTCCTAAACCAAATTTTGCAGTTATGTAAAGTCTTCCTTAGTGGGTATACTTGCTTTAATTCTGAACACCAGACCGTGTTTTGCTGTGGTACCATTAGTTTAGAATTCAGCTGGGACTCATATGAGMAATCAAGGTAAATCTTCAGAGCTGGGAATTGTAAAGAGCCATTGCACATGTAAGGACAGAGTAAAGGGAAAAAAAMCAAATCTATTCTGTCCTTGTACATGTACCTGCTGAAGCTCTTGTTTCTGAGCCTGAAGCTGGTCGTGCTGCCTCTGTAGCTCCTCCTTCTGTTTCTGAAGTTCTTCTGCCTTCTTTCTAAGTTCATCTTCCTGCTGGGAAATGTGATTTTCAAATTCCTTCAGCTCATCCTCAGTGAACAGCTGCTGTTGATCCAGTGTCTGTAAGAAAATAAAAGTGTGAATACTGAGCCAGGAAAGCATGTGTATTTCTTATTATTGAAATTCTTGCACAGTTCACTAAAAATCCCTCAGAACAAAATACCCAGACATGACCCTGTGTGCTCTCAATGAAAACAGTCATTTCTCAGCTCTTTTCTCAACAAAACTCTACTACAGCTTTAGACGTAGGAGAAAAATATCCTCTTTCTTCCAGCCAAGCYCTTAACTTCCCTTTGAAGTGATTCATAAACAGAATGTCCATTTCCATTTGAAAAGCACGTGTGAAAAGCTCCTCCCGAATCCCCGGGGTGGCGCCAGACCTTTTCCGTTGGTGTGAGGCCGGAGGAGCTCACATCTGCATTACATTAGGCTGCCACAGCTGAATGTTACGTTTAGCTGAGGGGCTTAACGACACACATACCAAAGCAGAGCTGAAAAAAACCCAAAGGTCACAGACATGCCGTTTGTTTTCCTGGTCCAAGTGCTGGTAATGGTACTGTATGTTGTACTTGGAACACATTTTCATTACCTCCCAGCTATCTGGCTCCAAAAATTCCTTTTTCTCTGTAGCTCGCAGGAACTCATCCAAAGTCACTAGCCGGTCTTTGTTGATGTCAACCTATTTGAAGCAAAAAATTAAGAACAGGTTTTGGTAGAGTTAATGTTTAACTTCAATCAAATATCTTCAAATATAACCATTTAAAATTTTTTAAATGTCCTGTTTTCAAGGGTGTGCCCCAAACAATTTCTGAACACTTCTCTCACAAGCTTATGTAGTTTTAACAAAAATAGAACTAAAAAAGAAAATCCTGACATTTCACTTCAAAATTTATTGGCTTTATTGGAAAAACTTGTGTTCACAGTCCCAAAACTAATAGTGGAATGTATGATTTTTTTTTGAAAAAAATGTTTTGTAGCTTTCTGGTAACTACTCTGAGTCACAGTTACAAAATTATCTCCACTGTTGGAGGAGGAGGTTTTAAGAAACAAAAATCTCACCCAACTGAATTGTGTCAGAATTTTTCAAGGGGAAGGGAGGAAATGTTTCCCTTTATGACTAATAGATGACCAGCCTTGCTCTGTTCCTCAGGTTTAAGGAATACAGTTGAATACAGATATCTTATGAGTAGAAAACACAGTGGTTCAAAACATCTCCTTTCCATTCCTGTATCTCCTGAGCTGAAAACCTGTCAGACCCAGTGAAGGTATTCACTGTCACAGGTGACACCTTGAGCTCTGAGTCCCCTTTTAAAGGGACAGAGATGAGCTAGATTGCTCTAYTCTCTCTTCTCACACCTAAATCTTACCCATTTGCCAAGTGTCAAAGCACATTTAGAGTCTTCCTTGGCTAACACACAAGGAAATTTCTGTTGAATCTCAGTAACTGCAAACAACAGAGGCTATAGCACAATTCCTTCTCTGGAATCTCTAAGATAAAAACTAGTCAGCAGGCATTGCATCAGAATACAGGGAGAGGACTGGAGAACTGTAACTTCATATGAATCCCGGCACAAGCAGCATTCATTGTGACAGACCATCCCTTTCTACTGCACTTGGACAACACTYCATGCTAGGAGAACTGTATTTTTTGAACACAGAAGGCAATTAGCTATAATGAACATCAGCCCCACCTCATTCATTACATGTTCTCTCATTCGCAGCCTTTCTTCTTCCATTTCAACCATGTCATCCTCTTCATTCTTGGGATCATAAACTTTTTCTAACTGAAATTTAAAATTAGTACGTGTTAGTTTGAAGAAAAGGCTACTCGTTCAAATGGCAGAGGGTATGTGGAAAAGTAGTGTGAGACGTTACTGTGTGTGTGCAATTTTCCTCTTTCAGCATAGTATTTAAGCAAACAAGTGAGCCTTTCTTTCCTAAGAAAGAAGTTTTCAGTTAATTCATGTGGTCTGTTACAATTCAGTGCTGTGGATGTTACAGTAAAGTTGACCTCAGTGTGCACAGTCTGATCTTATATTTGATTCAAAGCAGGCAGAGGTTCCAGAGGTTTCTGGAATGGGAGAGTGTGGCTTTTTCACCAGGGCATGCAGCTGACCCCATAAGCATTCAGGATATCACAAGACAAATTCAGTGCCAAATTTAATGGTTCACTTCTCTTCTTGCACAATGCCTTTCTAGAGAGTTCATACTTATTTGCTTCTTTTTGGCTTTCTCAGGCATTGAGCTTCACTTGCTTAGCCATAGGTAATTTTAAGGCTCCAGGCTATTAGTTTTTAAGCTACAAAAYTGTAAAACAGTAAGACATCTGTCAAAAAACTGCACTGTATCTTCACTGTGGTGAAGGGGATTATGGCAAATTATTGTACACAGTCGCATTTTCAGAGACAACCAAGGCTTAAAGAAACCAAGAGCCTGACTACTTTATCAGATGCACATCAGCTTCAAACTAACCAGATACAAAATACATAAAATTTGTGTAGCCACTTCCACAGTGCTGTCCCTGAGCCAAGTCACACCAGTGTCACCCTCTTCCTCATAGCACTCGTTGATAAACAGTGAGCACAGGTGCCCAGCTTTAGAGCCTCAAAACCTCTACCAGACTGCATCTAGGCAGAGCAGGAGAGCAGATCCCTGCATTGCAATTCATCCAGGCAATACCTCTCCTGCAAATTAGTTATAAAATCTCCTGAACAATGCAAGAGCACTAGATCTCTGATGTCTGACTCCTACACTTTAACTTTATTTTGCCAGTTGGTAAGTTTTRCACTTCAGCAGAAATATTAAGGCTRCATGAAACTCAGCATGAGTACTCTATTTTGTAGTTCAAAGCCCCCAAATACACTTGGGAAAAACACAGACATCCCATTTAATGAAAGAAGTTTAGCTTCTGATTTTTTTTTTACCTCTTTAGTAAATAGAGCTTCTAATTCTTGCTCATCCAGGAAACCATCATTATTGACATCTACAAAAAAGTTTTAAAAATACAAGTTGAGTACATATAGAAAGTCATGCATGTAATAAATCCACAAGAGTTAAGTAAGGATCAGTGTACACATCTCAGTTAACAAGAAGTAGGTTRCATAGGTTGTTTCTTCTGTTTAGGTTTTTATCAGACATTAGCTGGAGTGTGTTGCCACCTTGGGTTGGCTGGACAAGTCTGGAGCAATTTCTCTACTTCTTAGATTAGGAAACTGAAATAGGTCACCACAGGATTGCACTGAGTGTAACTGCCAAAAAATATTGCTGAGAACAAGTTGTCCCCRTTTAACCACTAAATTTGTAATTAGACTCAGGAGCAACAAAATTCTGCAGAAAAACTTAAACTAACAATATGAATTTTAAAAAAAGTGCATGAACATCTATATAAATATGCAGCACTTGAGATAAGTGTAAAAAATTACTTTTCATGACAAATGCAGAGAGGAGAATACTTGGTAATTAATGATCCAGCTTTTATTCWACATTGTGCTCTGAATATTGTTACRCTACCTCTGAATGGAAAGAGAATGTCTACTTCAAATTATTAGTCAATATYTTTGTGTAATTGCGTCAAAATTTTTACATACTAAGCTCCAAGTCAACAGGTGATTTTAACTGTTTCTGTTTTGGTAGATTTTGCRCAAACAAGCTACCTAAAAATTTCAGAATGCCATCTTTCAAAATCTGTTTCTAGAAAAGAAGAGGTAAGATTTGGTAACTAGAACTAGACAATCTTTAAGGTCTTTTCAGACCCAAACCATTCTATGATTCTGTAATACATACTTATATATTCTATATATAGAGATAAAAGTTTACACTCAAGCTAGAACACTTTTCTTCATCTAAATCATCATCTTTGAGATTAGTCAAACTCTAGGTACTGTTCAACCCTTTGTAGCTTAGTGCCAGGCAGGATCTACTTAGGAGTACTTTATGATGAAGTATGTAACAATATCAGAATATAAGGTTACATGGTGACAATTACATTTAAAGCAAAATGTTAATTGAGATCCATTCTTATCTCTGCTACTGTTTCTACTTATTGTTTCTAGCTGCCCATTCCTCAGAAATCTAGAGGCAGGATTACAGGGTTTTTGTTTTATCAAGGCAATCTTGCARCTTCTGAAGAGGCTTGGCCCTTCTATGACAATTCCAAAGATTAGGGGTGTCTGGTACTTATCTGCAGAGATGATGAGAAAGCAGTTTTTGCCCCTACACACACCTCTGAAGGTTTATTCCCAGTACATACTGTGTAAGCAAAGACATGGACAGCCCTCTAAGTACCCATACTTCCTAAYGAATCACTACTGGTTTTTGCCTGTATGACTTCAGGAGTAGTTAAACAAAATTCTAAATGTTTTTAGATTTAAAACTCCATTTAAAACATTGCATAAAATTTACAAACAGTAACAAATATTTTCTCCTCTGTATTATTTTCAGATTCACCTAAGTTGCTTGAGGTGTAAGACTTCATCCTGACATATGACAAACTTGTCCTCRACAGAATGTAATAGAAAGTCACTTCACTTGTCCATTAGCTTAAAACTAAACCTCTTACCGTGCAATTTGAAAAATGTTTTGGGGTCAAATTCATTAGGATCTAGTCCATCTGCTTCTTCCCACACCTCTTTCAGTTGATCTTTGCTTCCCTGTAGATTGGTTACAAAAAATAACTATTCAAAAGACAATTTGGTGTAGTTTTCTTGCATTACCTTTGCATTATGGTTTCTCTGAAAGGCTTTCTTTGATGATTAATCATGCGGTAAATGGAATCAGTGGAATTTTCTTTCATTCCCTTTTGGTCAGGTCTAATACTTTTATTAAACACARAGGTCCAGGGAAAGGGAGTGTCAAGGAAATGCATATTCTGTGGAAAGGAGCACCTGTAATAATCAGTCATGGCCACACTGATTATTGTTTCATCCAGAAACAATAGCTGAAGGAGGCTGAATTATTTTGCCTTTCCTAGAGCAAGTTATACTGTGATGTAATTCCTTGCAGGCCAGGCATACCATGAAGGCATACCTACAGTTCTGAAAACTGGTCTGGCTCCTTCCTCATGAGTTTCAGTGCCTTTGTTAAGTAAGAATTCTGGCAGCAATTAACACACTTGTACAGAAAAAATGGGGGTTTATACAGTAGGGTTTGTATCAGAACTGTGCCCACTCYCTGCTCCCATGTCAGTGAGAGGAGGAAAATGATGAGAACAAACAAAATACACTCTTCTGTGTACTAGTTTTTCTCTCTGGAAAGGAAAGCTCACAKTCAGGCACATAAGAACAGCCTGTGGCCTTACAGGATGGTGAACTTTAGGGTGATCTCCATGTTTTTTCTTCATCTCCTCAAATTTGGATTCTTCTCGCTTCCTCTTTTCTTCATCCAGTGTTTTTAAATACTCTCTCCTTTCRTGTTCTTTCATCATCTCATATTTCTTAAACTCCTCATGGCGAGTCTTATCATAGTTTTCCAGGTCACTTGTAGCCTAAAAATACAGATATATGCAGACATATGATTATGTAACATAGTCTGACATCAAAAACACTGTATTGTTCAGATCCATGGGCAGACTGGCTGGGGGGTTCCTTTCACATGACAGTGATGCAGAAACATCTCTCCTCCCTTTGTCATTTTCACAGAAATTAATTTGTAAGGGTTCATCTGCTGGACAATTTTCGCAATTACACGGTGCTGTAAGAAGGCATCAAGGTGTCCTTTCTCATCACTGAGTAATAAATGAACTCAAGTTAATCAAGTCCTATACTAATAGTACCATTAAATCCTTGATCATTTCAGAATAAGAACATTTGTAGCTTGTCGTACAGTTTAAAGACAAAAGTGCCTTCATTAATGATGGGAGTTTGCAGCAGCTTAATACAGATTAAATAAAAAAACCCTTAACAGTTAAACGGAGGGAAAGGATGTGAGAGGAGAATTTCTGACAAGTTCTTGTATAGCTTTTAAAGATGTGTCATTTTCATACAGGCCAAGATACTAAAGGATATTTTGGTAGGGCTTTTCAAAGTAACACATTTACACTGTCTCTCCATTTATTCACATTTTAGTTTTCGGATTCACTGTACCTTTTAAAAAACAATTCCAAAGCAAAGATCTCCTAAAGTACCCATTACACCCTGTCAGTGTCTTGGTGAGAAATGAGAAGACAAAACAATGAAATATATAATACAATAAAAAACTGTCCTGTTGAGGATATGCTTCTCCAAGCCAACCAGAACTTTCCCAAAAGTGATGTTCAGAAATGTCAAGAAAAAATTATAATACCTTTATAAAAAAAATTTTACAGAAAATGAAGATAAAATCTTCCAACAGTAAAAAAATTACACAGAAATTATCTTTCAATTTGTTTTGAAAGTATGAAAACTGTCAAATTCTCATGTCAGACATGCAATGCTTTCTAAAGCGTAGCTGAGATGAAAGTCATTTTTCCCCTTGGGAAGTGTGTTTTTCTCTAGCAGCTGAAAAAAGCCACACCATGCTTAGCTTAACTGCATCCCCTGAATAAACAGRCACTGAATAAASCCCCACACKTGTGACAGATACGAAATCTGAATGAAGGGACACTGAATGCCATGCCCAGTATAAGCAGTTCCTAATATTGCTATCATAAATTCTACTCTGCTGTGCTTTTCCACCTTGATGCATATATAATAGATCCCAAAATTCATATGGATAGGTTAGGGATGATTTTTTGTATAATTCTGTGAGACTCCTGAATCATGTAGAAACAGAAATCAGAAAACACACTTGGGAAAAATGTACCCCTATCTCACYGGTATTAAATTTAAAAGGTCTCAGAAAGGTGTATTTTATTCCCAAAGCTGCTTGTACTGGCATATGAATGCAAGTCCTATTAAGGTGGCATCCCAAAATGTATGGACTCTTTTGCATAATGCACACTGGCAACAGTTTTCAAGTGAGCATGGAGATAACTGAAAATTTTCTCTGAAAATGAAAACTGCATGTCATTTATGAAATCTGGTATATAGGAAAAGACTTCCCTTTATCAGTGAGAAAAAAGCATAAGTAAAACCCCAACCCCCCCTAGTAATTCATATCTGGCACTCACTGCTTTGATCAGCATATCCAAGTCTTTAGGTTCAAAGGTGTCAGGATTCTGATGGTTCAGGTGCTCAAATTGCTTAAGAAGAGCCTGATGATCTATACCAGTGTCTGGAAAATCAAGGTAAGAATGTAAAACATTAAAATCAGTTTGAAATCCAGCAAAACCAAAAAGCTGAAGTCCTTCACATGGGAGCTTGTGCCTGAGGCTACTGAGGACTGGATAATTTTTCACTGCTGGAGGAAACTATAGCAACATTTCTAATGTTGCTTTTTCTGAAGGAGGTTGGCAAACTTGATGGCAATTTGCACAACTTCCCTTCTGATGGGTCAGTGTTGCAGCACACACAATCATTTTACATGCACAAATTACAGCTTCTGTTTCAGTGAGGAAAAGTATGATCAATTTGAGCTTCACAAACTAAAAKAAAATTTCATTCTCTTTTATATAAATGTTTGACAGAGCACAATTTCAACTAACAACTTGCAGCTTTTTCCCTGCAGTGGGAGAAGTCCAAATCTTCCACTGCGCTGGATATTTTGCAAATGCCATATATCTGGCCAAACATTTATRTACAATATGGTGTAAAATTGCATCAAATAACCAGATATTCAAATAACCAGACGTTCAAACTTCCAATTTGTGGGGAAAAAAAAAGAGAAGTGCAAGACAGTGGAGAGTCARGTCTTGCGTCTAAAAGCCACAAACATTTTCTGTTCCTTGTGACAGGAGTGATACACAACCRTATTAACACTAACAACTAAACACATTCCTACCACAGGCTTTTCTAGCTGTTACTATGGTTTCTGAACACTAATGCTGTATAACAACATTCTTTTAAGAAGTATATATTTTGATATGTTAAGTAAAACAATTGTGACAAGCTTTAACTAGATGGCTTAGCAAATAATATTTTAGTTGTTTAAAAAAAATCGGAAAACACGGTTTTGAACATACAGCTCTTACACAAACTATCAATGCTGTGTTTGTATTATCACAAAACAGCAAACACTGGCCAGGGCAGATTTCAACCATCATTCCTCCCTGGTGAGATCATAATTTCTGTTTAAATATATGTGTTTTTGTCTATGTCTGAAACATTTTTAGAAGTGTAATAATAGACTTAAGAAAAGTCAGCAAACAATAAAAAAATAGCCCCAAACCCATTTTTGTCCATTCTTATATTTAGGGGAAAGATTCGTTCTATTTGACACWATTTTCTTGCCACATTACTGTGTGATCTGGGACCCAACTCTTAACGTTCTTCTGACCTGTACTTATCAGTCTCATAGGATCTGGGTGAAAATGTTTAAAAACACATCTGGATGAGGACTGAATATATGCAGAGCATAATCTCAAATCTGCTTGTTTGGGGTTTTTTAAACCTAATCCAGCTGGGAGGAAAGAAAAGAGGAGGGGTTTGTGTGCCCTTTTTTTCTTTTTATAGATCAGATAGAAAACCATGATACTAAGTGGTGTTATAGTGAAAAGATTACAAGAGCAAATAAAAGGAAGTCAAACCACTCTGCCTGCTGCTGCTGCTGCTATAGTATGCTCCCTGTGCAGTATCACAGTACTACTCATCTGAATGTTCTGAACTGCAATAAGCTGTTTCCAAATGTAAGATCTCAGGCTTACATGCTAAGATCTGAGCTGTTGGGGGGAATTATTTTTCTAAAGCACACACTGTTAGTTACCATTGATCTACAAAAGTAGAAAGGGCTAGAAGTAATCACTCTGTTAAACTTCAAAATACATAAAACAACAATTTATACACCTAGGCATCATTAGCTGCTGTCACCTAGCTGTGAATATCACTAAGATGTCAATGGACTGCTTGTGTGCAACAGGAGCAACATCCCCATAAACACTTATTTTCATGTGCACACTTCTTCRGTCTATTTGCCACATCTAAATTCAGCTTAGTCTGCAAGACAGATCCTCATTCTTCCAGTATTTTAAYTGGATACATTATGTACTCAATTCCAGGGGATCCCCCTTGAAAACTTGCAAACAACTTTATAAGAATAAAATACTGACAAAAAAAAATTCATTTCTACCCCCTAAGGATATGAAATACTGTTGTGTCATTTTCTTAAACAGTCCTACTATGTTACTAGTTCTCTGTAAGTAATCTATGAATTGATGCATTACAAAAATAAGCGGTAGAAAAATGATTAGAAGTATCTGAAAAATCCACTGAAACAGGTTCAGTTATTTATAAAGCAGAGATGGCTTTTCTTCTCTCCMCAGTTTCCTATAAAGACAGGTCTTTAATGGTTCCAGGCCAGCTGAGAAAGGACACTCACTCTCAGCTTAGTCATTATTGGTGACAACAAACAATGCACCATCGCTGAACTTTGACATTTCTCTAACACAACTCCATCTGCTAACTCACCTAGATAAATTCTRTATTCTTACCTTGAACAGAATCCATTTTAGCTTTAATTAACATTCTTAATCTTGCTACCTCTTGTCTTTTTAGTTCATCCAGCCGTGTTCTCACATGATGGCTTACTAAGTCAAGYTCTCTGCTTAGCTTTCCACTCTGTCAAAAAATAAAACAGTTATGTATAAACACTRGAAGAAAGTAGCCTTTAGGATTCCTATTACACATAAACTGCAAGAGAGCAAACTAGTGGCAGTCTCTGGCAATGTTGTAGTTGTACAATGCTGTACATTGTAAGAATCTCAAAATTTTTCAAAGAGCATATTCAACMTTTTTATGCCTGAGGTTATAGAAACAGTAAAGAATCCTAAAAGCTTTCAGAAAAGAGAATTTCTAAGTATCCTGCTCCTCCAAAGTGCAAAACCATAACCTTGAAGGAGCAATGCCTAATAACATTAGTGAYAAATTTCTTGATCAAATATTCTCAACTGAGTTCAAAAGAACTATGAGAAGCACAAAGTGCCTCACCCACTCGAGGAGGGCTGTTAGGCTTGAGGGAGGGTGCAAGGCAGCAGCAGCCAYCAATGTGTACTGCAAGAACCTGGAAATGGAATCCAAGGGTTACAGCAGATAGCATGGGAGGAAAAGCCACAAACTGCCAACAGCAACAGGAGGGATTAAAGGAAACACAAAAGGCAGAATCTCCTCCTTAAATCTGTCACTTTAGAATGTTTTCTACCCATCCCTTCCTGAATTTCCAGCTCCTCAAGGSGGGAATGCAGAACAGCCACCACCTAGAGCCAGGAATGAAAGGAAGAAAGAATACAACATACAGGGCTCATGATTATGGATTTAATTAACCTCGATTTAACTCCTTTCTTTTAACCTACCTTTATTTCCTCTATATCAGCAGTCTGGAGTTTCTCCCTGAAATGTTTATCAGTTTCCAAGACATCTATAACTTGCCGGAGATATTCATCATAATAAAGTCCTGTATCCTTAAAAAAAAAAAAAAAAAAAAAAAAAAAAAA